TAAAACTTCAATATTATGCAATTCTGTACCTGAGAAAATGTTAAATCCTAACTCATTTAGGAATATTTAAACCGTCAAAAAGTCCTAGATTCCTAAACTACATCCACGTAAAACGATTCCTTTCAGACGTGAACTGAACTGCTGAATTACTGCAGTGTTAGACGGCTGATGTGGCATCGTCATTGATCCAGTTGCTGCTAAGCTGCCTTGACACCTGCACAAATCCATTGGACACAGAGCTCTAGAGAAAGGAATCAGCCATGGCCGCACGAGCTCTTGACTTCCACAAAGGTTAAAACAGTGAGACCGGGAAAAAGCAGCGGACCAAAAAAAGTGGGCAGAATTTGCGCAGCGACGAGGTGGGAGGAATAGATTAGAGCGTGCCGACTTCCTTTTTCTTTTTCTTTTTTTTTTTTTGCTTCACTAAGCCGTGAATCGTTGATACAAGCTGTTTAAATCAATATTGACAAAGGCCAAAAAGAAATCCTGTACATTTTGTAATTGCTTCAGTCCCAATTTAGGAAGCAGATTTTCTGCAAGATTAGAGAGAGGGAGGAAAATATTTGTTTGGTTTTTTTTTTGTTTTTTTCTTCTCCTTCTGCAAGATGAAATACACACAACATCAAACATCGGATATAATGACGGGATTAACTGAGGAACAGCATTTGGAAATCTGATTAATGGAAATGGAATTTTAAATTGTATTTTGAACATGCGGAGTCACATTTTCAGAAGTGTCATTCAGAGAGACAAAACAGAAACACTTGAATATATAAACGCTAAACTTAGTACACATTGCGATATGCTTCAAAACTAGCCTCCCTCACTCCATCCTAGACATATTAAATTTTTTTTTTTTTTTTTTTTTTATAAATCAGTTTCCCCACTATGAAGTCATTTATCTCTGAACGGCACATTAACCAACCATTTTAGCCGCCCGTCTGCGCGGGTATCGTCTTTACTGATAATGGGAAAAGATTATGCACATTCATTACCATTATCATTAAAATCATCATCATACGTTTAGCATAATAACGCCGTTCAAACGATGCACTTCTGCAGCCGTTTTTTTTTTTTTTTTACCACTTGTTGGGGCTGACTCTCGGCTGTTTTAACGTTAGAGGAAGAGCTGTTGTCGCTAATGCCTTCAAGGCTTCCTGTGGTTCCTCAAGTGTGGTACACAATACATTAAAAAAAAAAAAATTAAAAATTAAAAATCTTCTACTTAAGTTATCTAAATAAAACAAATTCTTATTACACATCTAAGGCTTAGAAAAAAAAACAACTAAAGTGCAGCTGAATGATTGACTGCTCTCTCAGCACAATCTGTGTTTTCTTAATGAAGTAGTTATCAAGTGTGAAGTGGGTACTGCTGACGTACTTAGAGGCACCGGGAGACGAGCTGAGTGATGGAAAAAAAAAAAAAAAAGAAAGAAAGAAAGAAAGAAAGAAATCCTACTCCAGGTGAGTGAATATCATTCACAAAGTCACCTCTCAAGTCTGAATCCCACAGTTAGAAACAGAGGAGGACTCCACAGTGGTGGTTTTAAAAAAAAAGGAGTGAGAATCTGTGCAGAGGTTGTCTTCAACAAAAACAATATTCCCCCCTGGATTTATTAGCCCTTGGTCTACGCATACAAGAAACCAGTCCCTCTCCTAATGAACCATTTAGACATGTCTAAGCCGGAGTCCTTTCTAATCCTTGAGGTAATTCAACATCACAATCTACGCAAACAGGTGGTTTCAAAGAAGCGATAATAATAATTGAAAAATAAAAAAAAAAACTCTATCGTACCTGTGTCTGCGACTTCAAGGTATTCTAGCAGAGTCCTCCTCCTGTAAGAGACTTTGGTGATTTAGCGCGTATCCTTAGCCTTGGGGTTTCAACAACTGAACACATGCCTCCTCTGAGGCTTCTTATAATGGCACACCCCTTCCCTCCTGGCTCAGCCCTCCACCAGCACCACCGTCCACCCCTCCCTTCCCCTAAACATCACGAATTACACCACCACAAAGAGTTAGAGAGGAAAAATAGAGTGAGAGAGTGAGAGAGAGAGAGAGAGTGGGTTAGAAAGAGAGAGAAACAGAGAGGTGGATTCCCCCATTCTGTTACGCACAAACCCCTTTGGATGAACACACGTACCGCTGCCCCGTGCTGACGTAGGAGGCGTTGCCTACGCCATTGGGTTTTTTCGTCTTCATTGAGCCAACTAATGGGGCTCTAAAAATATGCATCATCCACCACGAGATTGATCCAGAAAGGATCGGAGTCTAAGGTGTCCATAAAAGCCACGGCGCTTCAATGCCGACCTGCTGCCAAGGTCAAGGAAAACAAAGACCGGGAAAGCAAGTTGAGCAAAAGTGTGTGGGGCAAAAAAAATAAAAATAAAAATAAAAAGAGCAGTGGTGATGGAAATGACATTGGAGGCGTTTGACAAGGAGGTGTTTGTGCCAAGTTTCGAGTCCTTTTGTCAGAAGGGATGGGTCTGAATAGGAGGCGACGTTCTCCTTTTAAATGTTTTAGCTAATTAGGATTAGAGGACTGGGCGGAGAGCGCAGGCAGTTTGCATGACTCATGCAGAGAATTCGGAATAGGGGAGAAGTTAGGGGTTTGAGCAGTGACCTCTGAAAGCACGAAGAAAAGAAAAAAAACAAAACAACAACATTTGCAATGGTGACAATGACAGCTCAGATAAATGACGTGCAATTGTGACATGACCTGGTTAGATAAAAAAAAAATACGAGAGTAAGACAGTAGTTAGTGGATATTTGGAGAAAGAAGGGAGAGGCGTTTTACCCAAAGAACACCATCCCCGCATTGAGGCGTAGATGTCAGATGATGTCAGCACTTCAGGTGTCTCTGGGGTTGAATGAAACTACGACGCAAGTACAACTAGTGAAACGAGGTTATTTTATATTATAATCCATTTAAAATTACTGATTTAAATCCAATCCCTCCAATCCAGGCGTGGCCAAACTTTTTGACTCGCGGGCCACAATTGGTCCAAAAATTTGACAGGGGGAGGCCCGGTCAGGAGCAGATGGATGGAGCTTTCGTGTATACTACGATAAATGACGTGTGAAAGTCATGCATTAAGGCTAAAATGCTAAGATGCTTTTAGCCTTCTCGACGCCATCTATAGGGAAATTGTGGGCATTGCAGGGAAAAGGCAGAAATATATATCATAATACAATCATAATACAAATTAATTACATAATTTTGGCGGGCCGGATTACAAAGCTTAACGGGCCACATCCGGACCCCGGGCCTTAGTTTGCCCATGCCTGTTCCAATCGCTGTTAACTTACAGTCCCTGTCGGTTGCATACAAATAATGTTACGTCACTGCTGGTTTCGATTTTTGGTGACAAAAAAGAAAAGAAAAGACAAAGTCACCGCCGGCCACACTGTGGCTGTGAGGAGATGATTTTTCTGTCAACCGCAGGAGCAAAAAAAAAAAAAAAAGTGATGACAGAAACAAGTGAAAGAAAAGAGGTGAAGTGGAAACAATAATAACAGGAACAGCATCGAGAAGCAGATTTTTTTTGTGTGTGTTCAGAGCACTGGTGAGACGCTGAGTAGTGCTGAAATAACCGATAAGAGATAAATGTGATCAAAGGCTTCCTGTATCAGTAGTGCATTAAATTAAAGCGCGACAATAATCCTCGTACTCTACTTTACTGTCGTTTACACACACCTAAATATATATACATATATGTATATATGTGTATATATATATACATACACTTATATACATATATGTATATATGTGTATATATATATATGTTTTGAAATACTCAGTAGTATTTGTTCCTTATTATGTCTCTTTATCTGTTGCCTATTGATTTCCTTTTTAATATAAATTCGCAGACAACAAAATGTATGTGCAATAGCATGTCACATACACCGCTAATACTACAGATCCTACTAATATATAGGGGCTATATACTGGCGGGCCAACTCTGGTGCGCATTTGATATGATCTCGCGGGCCAAAATATAATTACTCCGTGGGCCAGATTTGGCCCCCGGGCCTGAGTTTGACTCATGTGGTCTAATAGAAAGAGAGATATCCCTGAACTACAAGAAATTATTTTTTATTATTTTGTCATCTTTACTGGAGTTTGTTTTTGCTGAGACCAGTCTTGGAGGCCATCGACAGAGCATTATCTGAGGTTGGCCAATCAGCATTAGAAGAAATGTGATGAAGCATAACAGGAGACGAGGAGGCGAGCAAAGTGGCCACCGTGTGTGATAATTCTGAATGAGATGAGACGATTGTGTGGGAAAATATCCTGAGACATTAGAGGACACCGACTTAGAGTCATATAGAGTTACCTCTGGAACAAATTGTTTCTCTTTCCAACCATAATCTCTCTGCTCTTATCTCTCTCCCTCTCTCTCTCTCTCTCTCTCTCTCTCTCTCCCTCTCCCTCTCTCCCCCTCTGCCTCTCCCTCACACGCCGTAGAAGCACTAAACCCGACAAGAAGCTCAACATCAATTGTTGACATTTGCAATTCGCGTTTAAACAGAAGTTCGGCTGAGGTTGGCGTCGATGTGTTATCGTGATGAAATGCGATTTATATTTCGTAGTGCAGATACACGTCTGCGAAGAGCCGCAGTCTTTCAGCAAAAAAAACTGATTTTCAGTGGAAGTATTGGTCCGACGTTAGTTAGAAAAATAGCTCTGCTGAACACACACCCATATATATATATAAATAAATATATATATATACTACGGATGTCCGATATTATCGGCCTGATATTAGCATATTATGTAATATCTGTAAAAATCGTTATCGGCTTTTCCTCCGATAATGACACAATAACAACGCAATGCCTGGGTTTCGCCAAATGATGTGTGCTCTAAAAATAGTTTTGGGGATAAACTGGCTGTATATTAAGGCGGAGGTCGCTAGATGGCAGCATTGCGGCTCATTTAATTAATCTCATACTCATACAGCGGTTTGTACAGATAAATAAATAAATATTACCAGCCCTATATCGGTATCGGTTGATATCGGAAATTAAGGGTGTGGACCATATCGGATATTGGCAAGTTAATATCGGAGATATTTATACATATATAAACAGCTTCTACAGATTCTTTTCTATTATTCTTAAATGATTTTATTATTTAAAAATTAAAATAAATATAAAGAAATTTCCTCAAGGCTGTAATGGGCTTGAGTTAGCCCCCGGGCCAGGAGTTTGAGACCCCTGCTTTAGAGTTAAATACAAGAACCGCGCCCATTTCACCAGATTTTTGTGGGACTTAGAAATCACCTGAAACAGATGAGTGCCACCTTTGAGGCTAATCCATCATCCAGGATTTCACTTGACAAGTTAAATCTTTACTTCATTCAAGGCACTAAAAACAGGGGCGGAAACATCAGTCATTCCGATTTACGACGGTCCTGAAAACAGTCTGGATTTGAACTGGATGCTTATTTTATCTGACTGTTGGTAAATGTGATGGAATACAAATGGATTTATCTCTAAGAAAAAGAAAAGAAAAAAAAAACTCCACTTTTTACTTTTTGAATTTTTTTACTTAACATTCTACACCTTTTTTTCCCCAATTGCGTGCCGGCGTTAGCGTTAGCTCCCAGTGAGAGTGTTGATGCCGGCCCTGAACATGTGTGGTGTCTGATAGTAATGGATGAATTGGGTCTATGGACAGAACCATCAGTAGGGTTGAGATAAGGACCTGCGAAGAACAAGCAGCAATTCCGAGGCCTGTCTATCATTGATATCGCCAGCATCCACTGGCTGTCCACTGGAGGCGGACCAAGAGACAGAGATTACACAGAACACCCTGCTGAGCTTGGCAGCGCAGTTATACCTCAAAGGTACGCTTCTAAAAACCATTTAAACTGGTGAAAACTTTTCAGTAAACAGCCCCAAATGACAGTATGCGGTGCTCTTGATGTCGCAACACGCATTTGTTAACGTGGTCAAAATGCCCGTACGTTTCCAAAATCTCCTGAAGAAAGATATATGATGCTATTATGATTAACACAAAAGCCTATTCTCATGTAAATAATAATTTATTTAGATAAATGACATGCATAAAGGCTAATATGCTTTTATTATTTTTTACGCCATCTATTGGGGAAACATGGGTATTGCAGGGAAAAGGCAGAAGTATAATGATAATAGAAATAAATTATATCATTTGGGAAAGTTTGGTGGGCCGGATTGAAAAACTGAATGGGCCGCATCCGGGCCCCCGGGCCTTAGTTTGCCCATGCCTTTTCTAAAGCATCCTACAGTGTATAAAGCAAACCACTCTGTGGCTTTTTTGTGGAATTTAGAATGGGTTCATTATGATTCATTCAAACTTCCTCGTTTTATTTCAAACTGCAAAACTGACATAAAAACAACATAAAAAAGATCCTATTTTAAAGAAATTGTACATGACTCATCAATAGTTATTGACCCCCTAGCGTTAAAACACACAGTGTATTTAAATTCGTACTTAGACAGGCATCGCTTGGCACATATTGTAAACAAACAATATCAAAATGCTACAAACGTCCACATTTACCCCTTTATAAATCCATGTAAAAACCCTTTTAACTACACCATGGTATCTTTGCAGAGTCTAATATTTTCTAATATTGATCAGTGACTTCATTTGTATTTGGTTTCAGTCTTTCTCAAAGAAGAAACAGATGTGAAATAAAAAAATCTGTTAACATTATAAATGTCACATTAGCGCTCTCAAAAGACAATGATGAAGATGTTAACTTCATAGTCAATACTTACAGAAAAACCAGGGCCAGGCAGGAACCACGTGAGGGAACGTGAGGTAGATACACCCAGGGCCACCGGTGAGACGAGTGAGGCTAACGAAGAGGTGATCACAGGACACAGGTGAGAGTGATGACGCTGATTAACTCAGAGAACCAGACGGACCTGACAATAACCACAGGACATACAGTTTCCACACATTGTAGGCCATTGATTCCCAAAGACTGGGTAGCAACCCTCAGGTGGGTCGCAAGAGTTTTTTGGGGGGGTCGTCCTGCATCATGTTTCCCTGGAGTTTACGAATAATGTCTATTGACTTGAGACTGTGATGTGTGATGAGTGCTTATTAAATACTTGTACCATCACCAGGAGTTTACGAATAATGTTTATTGACTTATTAAATACTTGTACCATATATCACACCTTAAACCCAACCCCTTACCAACCAATAAAATATATATATATATTTTTTAGATCTTCACCATATGTAAATCAGCAAGAATCAGAATGAATCATCCAATGAAAAGGAGTCTTTATACCATAACAAGATATTTGCATGCACCACAGGGGAAACCTTAAGAAAGGCAGAAGTTATAGTCAATAGCCTCACTATATATTTTTTTTATTATCAGTTAATAACAATAGCTAACAACAGAAAGTCCTCCAATGGAGTTCGTAAAAAAAAAAAAAAAAAAAAAAACCTTGAGAAGGGAACAAAACTGAGCAGTCCTTGGAGGACATCCCCTGAATCCCTGTTTCATAACAACGTGTCTGCGAGGGGGTCTTCTCATTGGACTGACGTGTTTTACAGTCTAGGCCATCACGATGAAACCCAATGATGCGAAACTGAATTAGAGCTGGGGGATCTCTGGTGGTTTATGGGAGCTACGATGGGACATTCACCTGTCAAGACACAATGGATTATTATTAGCAGCACAGCCAACGATGGATTTTGGCTAAGATGTCCAAATGCTGACAATATTTTTTATTTTTTTAAACACAACTGCACAAAGCATTTGCAGCATTACCTGAAGTAATTAAAGTAACTCATTTTATTTTAAGAATTTTTTTATTATATTAATTTTACATAACAACGAGGCTAACCAGTACAACAGCTTTATTTCTCAAAAAAGAAAAAGAAAAAAAAGAGAAGATTTTTAAACAAAGGAATCAACAGTAATCAGCCAACCTGCTTGCAATTTAAAATGTTGACGCCTGTGGCCAAAGCATATTTGTGCCATGGTGCTGATTTTACACAATCAAGACATCATAAAACCCGCAGAGACAATGTAGCAGAATTTCCCAAACTGTGATGCACTGGTGAGTAAGATGGACGCGCGTAAAAGAGAGACCGCTGCGAGGGTATGATGGGAAAATGTTTACTGACGTCTACTTTCGGAGCGAAGGGAGCTCAGGATAGACCTCGGGATTAAATGCAAGGGTTTTGACCTCAATCAAGGAAATAATTACTGTTGTCTACCCTGTTGGTGGACTCCATAATTAGCAGGCAAAGCCCCCACAGAAAACACAATTAGCCCGAAACAGAGATGATTAAACTATAATTCTTATTTGACTATTTAATGTCCTCTTTGTGTCCGTGGAAGGTTTATTGAATTTCTCAGGAAAGTCCTTATTGCTCCTTTTGTGTGGTTCCCAGGGAAGCACATCCTATTTAATTCTCCTAGCAGAGGGGGCCCTTTCATAGTAGGTCCAATGTCCAAATCCTGATATCTGTCAAAGCAAGAGTGGGGCTGAGGTAATTGAAAAAGAGGACATTTGGTTTATGATAAAACAAGTCAAGTGTGACTCACTCCGTCTCCCTCAAGTCATAAAGAATATTCATGAACGGTGCCACTGATAAAAGCTGTGGATCATATTGGTCAAACACACACACACGCACACACGAGGGTGGGTGCACACCTACGCATACATAATCTCTCCGAATGCCCATGAAAATTATTAGCCCTAAAGAAAACATTTTAAAGTAATTACTTGTATCCAGAGTGTTTTTTAAACCCAGCATTGAAAGCCTGCTATTAACCTTAAGCTCTCCTAGAAACCAAATATTTTGCTGAATTACAGACTGCATTTGTTTGGAATTGCTACCCCCAAAAAAGAAATGTAGCAATATTTTTGTGCTATATAGCTATTTATATATATATGCTTGTTGAAAGTACTATCTAAAGTTGATTTTAACTGAATTCGTTAACTCTAAACTATGTAAAGTACTATCTAAAGTTGATTTTAACTAAATTCGTTAACTCTAAACTTGTTTTGTGCGTTTAAATGGTCTCACAGGACGGCAGCTCCTTTTAATATTGTTCTTGTACTTATGATACCGATCTTGGCCTCCGAAACTCGAGCCAATCACACGCAGTGACGTTATTCAATTTCCAGCCAATCAGAATGCACGTTGATACAGAGCGGGTCGTTACGAAGACAAACCCGGAAATGAGTGTTTTGGTTTTGTGTCAGTTGATTCTCTTCGTTGGAGAACCAAAAAAAGTAAAACAACTCAAATTTAATCGGTCATTGTTGATTAACCATCGGTGATTTTGACTGCACATTTGTGGTGAGTATAATTAAAAGTAACGCGAGTTGGTGTGACGTCATAGCTTTGTTTTGTGCTTTTCCTTTTAAACCAGCGACTGCAGAGAGCGCCATGTTTAGATAATGCAGTGGAAAAAAAGTGTGATTTAGAAGCCAAACAATGTTTTAAAATAGCTTTGTTTTACGTTCAATGTAGTATTGAAATGTTGAGCTTGTTTTACCTCACTAGCCAAAGCGTATGCCAAATGTATAATACCAAACTAATACTCTTTAAATGTACAACACCATGTAGCTCTTGTTTATAGTTATCCTCTCTTTTTATCTACTCGTTGTGCCACAATAGCTGCTTTCAGAGTAAGAGATGACGCATATACAACTATTACTTTTATTGTCATTTTTTATAAAACCTACTTTTAATAAGTATTTCACGAAGTAACTTAAATACAGAAAAAATGCATTTGTAGTATTTTTTTACACCAAAAACCAATGGCATTAGTGACATAATATTATTGAGATAGATAACAGACAGATAAACATAAAAAATCAAAGCAGGTTTTTTTTTCAGAAAAATCAATAAAATATCAGCTGTGATGAAAAATGTAAATAAAAGGATTTGATAAGAATAGGATATATGTTAATTTAAAAAAAAATAAAAATAGTTGTGTTTTTCTTTACGTAGTAAGATTTCTCATCCAGCTCAGATGGAGGAGCTCTACACCTTAGAGAAGGAGGTCGGACGAGGCAGCTACGGTGTGGTCTTCGAGGGACATATGACCAAAACAGGACAAAGGGTGGCCATCAAACGGTTGCCCTGCAGCAATCCAGAGTACATTGAGCTTTACCTGCAAGAGCTGTGGGCCATGAGAGCCACGGCCAAGAACCACGTCAACGTCATCGCACTGCACGGTTGCCTCCTGCAGAACGGCCCGCGCAGCCTGAAGCCCCTCAAACCAGGGAAGCTGCCGTTGTCTCTGGTGGAGAGTGTGTTGAAAGGCGGTGTAGTTGAAGCACCAAAGAGTCAGGACCATGAACACATCCAGTCAAACTCTCAGAGGAGAACAAATTCTGCTGCCAGGCTTCAGGACCGGACAAATACTGCGCAGGCCAGAGCGAAGCTCCAGGACAAGGCGGCTGAATCTGCAACTCCGAGCAGGTCGCAAAACAGAGCCCGAAAGAGACTGGCCCCGAGAGAGGATGAGCAGCCAGGACCTCTGCGCTACTTGGCCCTGTGGCTCGTCATGGAGTACTGCGACGGCGGTGACCTAAATCACTATCTTCTCTCACAGACCCCAAATGAACAACGTAACCACAGAGTGGTGTTACAGCTGTGCAGTGCTGTGGCCTTTCTCCACGGCCTGGGGATCACGCACAGAGACCTGAAGCCGGACAACGTGCTGGTGTGTGTCACATCGAAAGGTCCAGTAGTCAAGGTAGGCAGATGTTTTTTTTCTTCTTCTTAATATTATTAAATATATATTTTGGAACCATTAACATTGTATATTGTCGTGTATTAAGACGATTATTTTAGACCATGTGCACAAGTAACAAAAACTGCAAATTTCTATTACAACAGTGACATTACATGTAATTCACTACTTTGTTGCACTTTCTCCATGAACTGGGAAACAAAAAACAGAAGAAAAAAAAGTGCATCTAAAAACTCAGCTCAGCTTCCTTGGTGGTAAAATATGCAAGAAAATCTCTTTCTCCATGAACTGGGAAACAAAAAATAGAAAAAAAAATATATCTAAGGTTAAAACTTGATGAAGTGCCTCTAAAAACTTAGCTCAGCTTCCTTGGTGATAAAATATCCAGGAAAATTGTGTTTGTGTTAGTAAACAAATCATGTCGGTTCCCTATCATTCCCAGAGATTTTCTAGAAAATGTAGCTTAAATCAGTGTTTCCCAAACCTTTTTTCCGGGGACCCATATTTTCACGACCCAAGTTAATATACTTTATTCGTAAACACCTGGGAAACATGATGTGAGATGAACCCAAAAAAACTCTTGCGACCCACCTGAGGGCCGCGACCCAGTCTTTGGGAAACAATGGTTTTAAATGACCTGATCTATGAATTGTTTGCTTGTCCTTGGGAGTTAGAAAATTCAAAATGTGTATTGTTGTAGAATATGAAGTTCTGTCAGTACAAAGTAACACTGCGGCTGTCCACCTCGCAGGTGGCCGACTTCGGTCTCAGTAAGATGAGCGGTCTGGCGGATGGGGATTTGACCCGGCAGCATTTCTCATCCACCTGTGGCTCGGACTTCTACATGGCTCCAGAGGTGTGGGGCGGACTGACCTACACAGCCCAGGCGGACATCTTCTCCCTGGGTGTGATGTTCTGGGCAGTTCTGGAAAGAATCACCATTGTGGAAGAAGGGACCTCACAGGAGCAACTGGGTGAGTGAAGAGGAATGAATCCACGAAGCGCACCAGACAGAGAGACTCGATAAGAACGTATTCCCCTTAATAACGTGAACCAATATAGATACAACATTTCAGCGTCTAGATGAGCCATTTTTGGTCAGCCACGTTCTTTCCAGTCCAGAGTGCTCATACAAATGGCCGTAAAGGTTGAGGCAGGTCGATGACACATCGCGACCGAATCCGGTTCAAGCTAATTAACTGGCACATATTAAAAATGTCACATGCTGTTCACCACACGTGCATCAACCGCGGATGGAACAATCTTCAACCTAAATGGCACACAAACCAAAGTCGATTTGTGCAACGTACATTCTGGTACGGATTATATTAGGGCTGTCTCTTATAATAAATTGTGACGCTGCGTTAAATATTATTTTTTTAACCAATGTGCTCTTATAATAAATTGTGACGCTGCGTTAACTATTTTTTTTTTTTTAACCAATGTGCCGCGTTTAGTAGCCAGAGCGACTTCCTTATAGTTATTTATTACAAACGTAGTTATTTATTAATTTGATGTTTGTTTTTTTTAATCTCTTCTATCTTTTGAAATAACATAAGAGATAATGAAGATCAATTACATCTTATGCGATGCTAATGCGTAGATGAAGATGAGTTGCCGTCAGTTCACTCGCTTCGCTTATAAATTACACTTTGAGTTTGAGGAGTCCTGGACCCGTTAATGTGGGGGAAAAAAGTGGGCGATGTTCCAACCTGTTGTTGTCGAGCTTTTGGATTGTAATATTTGTGTTTAATGTCCTCTCCACGTCAGAGCCCCAGGTGCCCATTGGATGAGTCGGCATCTTAATGTTCATGAGAACTGGTCCCTGCCACTATCGCCCCAGTAATGAAATGGCCGTAATACAAATGTCTCATTCTATTTCAGTCACTGGGTTGTTTTTTTTTTTGTTATCAGGATGGAGGCAGATAAATATCCACCATTATCCCCAAGTTGAATTCTTTTGAGAACAGCTTCTTTGAGTCACTGATACTCTACGTTCTATTCCTCTGGTTAAAAAAAAAAAAAAAAAAGGCTCTTTTGAGGGATTCTCTTGTGTTTCAGTAGATGCAAATGGATAAGAAAATACGCACAAAAAAAATGGAATTTAGCTGCTCCAATAACAACCCTGTTTGTCAGTGATAAAAAAAAAAGGGGGGGGGGGGCGGAGGCAGCTGGAGGCTCTTTGCAGGCTGATAAAATGGTCCATGATTTCTACTTTATCGTCCTCAAAGCACCACACACCCACACAATTATCTGACTAGGCAAGAGAGCAGAGAGGATATATCATATTGTTAAGGAGGGAGACACAGCATATCCTGTTTTTTCGGCAGGTATGAAAGCCTGGAGTCTTGAAATAGATATACGTGGAAAAAAAAAAAAAGATAGACATCGGTCCCTCATTTTTATTCTCATGAAGATGCAGCTTCAACAGAACGACCGACTAACAGCTTTCTAACTGAGGTGTTTTTTTTTTTTTTAAAAAGTGAGGTCTACAAAAAATATAGTTTAAGGATAGAGTTAGGGGATGCAATAAATGCATATTTTTTTCATTGAAAAAAAAAAAAGGAAAGTTGTTCAAGTTCAACGCTACATTCTGTGTGAGTTTTACACCGTCTGTAGGATGCAGCTGATACGCAGAACAAAGCACTTGTTCCATTTGCAAATGATACAGTTGCGAAACACAGCTGGTACTTTTGGCTTGTTGTAATCACGGATGAACGCGAGGCTACTTGTTACGTTAATCATTCAAGTAATCACGGATGAACGCGAGGCTACTTATTACGTTAAGCTCTTATCATTCATGATGCCAGATCAAATTCTGATGTGGGAAATTGGAAGTTAGAAGTATTCTGACATATAAGACGTTTCCATCCTGCCTAGTTGCTGCTGACCAATAAGATTTGAAGAATTGTGAAGTGGGTAGAATGACAGTGTACCGACGACCTAACTGTGTCTCCCTCTCTGATTTCGTAGGTGCCTACGTGTGCAAGGGTCGCTCGGGCTGGCTGATGCCGCTGGGGGAAGCCCTTTGGGAAAACGCCGACCTGCAGCTCAGTATTCCGATGAAGTTTAAGAGGGCACCCTCACTGCCACCCCCTCCTGGTCCGTCCATGTGCTCCCTGCTTTTAGACATGCTCGCCTCGGACCCAGATGCTCGGCCTCTCGCAAACCAGCTGGAAGCCAGAGTGCGATCTGCTCTCAGAGAGGAGTCCCACTGACACAAAGTGCTTTTTACGGCCTCATCCGCTACACGGCCCCTACACG